GTCTTCCCTGGCGACATGGACGTGTTCTGACGCCTACATGACCCTGGCCGCGCAGCCACACAACCTAGTCCGACAACTCCTTCCAGTGGCGGTGCCGCTCGCTGTGCTCGCCGCCGCTGCGCTGCCGCCTTCCCTCAGAGCGCGCCATCAGCCACCGAGGCACGTGTGCAAGCGCTGTGCGCGCGCCGGCCTTCAGCTGGCGAAGGAAGGCCTGCCGCTCCTACAGCACGTGGTGCTCAAGGAGGTGCCTTCTTCAACCTGCAGGTGCTCTACCCGCTGCTCCCGCGACCCCGCGCCAAACCTGCGCATCGTGCACCTGGTTGCGCGACCCGCGGGCCGTGCTGGCGTCTCCCGCTCGAGGGAGACGTCAAGGCCTGCACGCGACAACGGGCTCGTGCTGCGGCCAGCCAACGGCACTGGGTGAGGCCGAAACGGCCTGCGCGTGGTGCGCGAGGTGTGCCGCAGCCACGTGCGCATCGGTGAGGCGGCCACGACGAAAGCAGCCGCTTCTTTGCGCGGCCACCGCGTACCGCCTGGTGCGCTTCGAGACCTGGCGGCGGGAACGCTGGCAAAGAGATCCGTGCGCCTAAGCCCGCCTTTGCCGCGCAGGGGGGGGGGAGGGGGGCGGGGGGGGGTGACTCACGCGGAGCTCGAGGGCCTGGATCCACAAACATCACCGCACGGTACGCCGGACCCCGGCGCGCCGCGAAGCCATTCCAGACTCGTCAGGAACGCGCTCAACGTCTCCACAGGCCTGGCGGCAACACGCGCTGCCTTCTCCAGATCCGCCGCGTGCAGGAGCTGTGCGCGGGGCCTGCAGCTGCTGGTACCGCCGGTGTAGGCTCTGACTACGAGCAAGCGCGATCCTGGCCCTGGATCTGGTGCTGACAGCCCGCTGCCCGAGCAGACTTCAGCTGGCAGTCGTCCGCCGGCGCAGCACGCGGGGTCACTATAAGTCTAGGTCTGAGTTGGGGGCGGTTTTGGGCTCTGGGAGCGAAGTGCCTGGTGGGAGGGATGGGACATGGGGAGCAGGTCCTTCTGCTGCTAGGGACTGGGAGTGCGGGACCTGCCCTGCAGTGGGAAAGGCTAGTCCCAAATCCATGTTTCTTTCTCTCCTCCCGATTCTTGGCTTTCTTTTCAGTCCTTCTTTATAAGCCGAATCGTCATCAGGTGCACTGTTCCTGGCAAGTGAAAATCTTCCGCCCGCTCTTCCTTTGAGCACAGGAGAAAGTTCAGATGATTTGGCTCCCATCAAGCGCTTTCTTTCCTCTTAACTTCCTCCCCCCTTCTGGAATCCACTGCCGCAGCCGGCAGCCTGCAGCCCTGGCAGTGAGTAAAGGGCACCGAGATCTGTACATCACACACACACACAACACACACACACACACACACACACACACACACACACACACACCCTGGACTCTCCTCCGTATGACTGGCACCACACTCCATTAAAGCCCATTGGCCTTTAAATTCCCCTGTGTCTTCAGTGAGAAATCAGACAAGACACCTTCTTGTCTTGTGGTCTCCCACTGGCTCTCCTACGCAAATGTAAATTTTAAGAAGACTTTATGAATAAAAAAGTTCCAGTGTCTTGACAACAACCACTCTGCAGGGTGCTCCTGTGTATCAGGGCAGGACGGAGAACTTTCTGTTCCTTCTACAGCCACTTGGGTTTACTTCCACCATACTCCCTAAAAAATGGAGGATGATTATTCTTATTGTCATGTTCATCACTATCATGACCATTTAAGACTTGGTGTAAATTGGAGGCAGGCTTGCCTCTGGGGAGGACCAGGGGAGGGCACGGGGACAGGGAATATCACTTTTCTTTGTCTGATTGACCCTTTCCCTCTGGTGCAGGGTTGTGTCTGCCCAGAGGATGGGGCTTTGTTTCTCATCTTCACAAATAAAATCTGAGCCTGTGATGCCCTCATCTGAACTTTCAGAAATTCAGGAGACCTCTACATGTTACCTTTCCCCAAAATTAAACATATATTAAATATGTATACCCCCCAAAAAATCACAAACTGGAGGAATTATAGGGGAAACGAGGAGGCTTTCCAGGACAGAGACTTCACTGGACCCAGGCTTGGGAGTGGGACCCACCACAGAGCCCTACCCTGGGGCTCTGGCTCTTGGATTTAAACCCTTGCCCCGGGAGAGGACCATGGCCTTCTCCTCTCCCCACGATGGCTTGTGCTCGTCCACTGGTATCGGTACACTCCGAAAGGGGGGAGTCATCTGGCCAAAATGTCACTTTGCCTGCAGTCTTCAAGGCTCCCATTCAACCAGATATTGTGAACTTCGTTCACACCAGCTTGCGCAAAAACGACAGCCCTATGCTGTCAGTGAATTAGCAGGCCATCAGACCAGTGCTCAGTCTTGGGGTACTGGCAGGGCTATGGCTAGAATTCCCAGAATTCGAGGTGGTAGGACTCACCATTCTGTCCAGGGGCCTTTTGGAAATATGTGTCGTGAGGGCCGCATGTTTGCACCAACCAAGACTTGGCGTCACTGGCACCGAAGAGTGAACACAACCCAAAAGCGATATGCCATCTGCTCTGCCCAGGCTGCTTTGGCCTTACCAGCACTGGTCATGTCTAAAGGTCATCATATTGAGGAAGTTCATGAACGTCCCACATGTCCACCAGGAGCAAGTTTCAAAATGGTCAGCTTGCTTACATTAAGCAGAGTAATTCCAGGGATGTTCCTGAAAGCCTAGATGATACCATTGTCCTCATTGTAGATGATGCAGGGACCCCTGCGCTGGATAAGACAACGGTTTCTCATTTTGCCCTTGCCAGCCCTCATTCGCTGAGAGGCATAAACCTTTTTGATATCATTCCAGGCCTTAAGTTTCTTAATCTTAAAAAGCCCAGAATCTTGAAAAGCCCAGAGATCTAAAGAGCTGTTTGAGCACCACACAAGAAGATTCATCACAGAGTCCTGAAGAAGAATCCACTGGAAAACCTGAGAATCATGTTGAAGCTAAACCCATATGCAAAGACCATGTGCCGGAATACCATTCTTCGACAGGCCAGGAATCACAAACTTCGGGTGGATAAGGCAGCTGCAGCAGTACGGGCCAAATCAGATGAGAAGGGAGTTGCAGGCAAAAACCCTGTAGTAGTGAAGAAAGGAAAAAAGCCTATTGGTGTTAAGAAGCAGAAAAAGCCTTTGGTGGGAAAAAAGGCTGCCTCTACCAAGAAACCAGCATCTCAAAAGAAACCTACCACAGAAGAAAAGAAGCCTACTGCATAAACTCTTAAATTTGTGTACTCTATAAAGGAATTCTTTTGGACAGCTTATTTTGAATAAAGACCTGATTAAAGAGGCAGTGAGAAAAATACATAAATAAACCCCTGCCCTGCCCCTTAATAGTTGAGTGTTCCTGTGTCTCAGCCACGCTGCCTCAATTAAAACACACAGAGATAATCGTTTCTACCTCCTAGGGACTTAGGAGGATGAAGTTCAAGCATGAGTACAAACATAAGTCCGTATCACAGTGCCTGCCTGACATGTTATTCCTAACTCTGAACCCTGGGGCAGTTGTCTGGTATGCTGAACACGAGGCTATGTAACAGAAACCTCCCAGTTAGGAGCTGGTTTCTGGATACCTGTGTGGCACACAGTGTTTCAATCTCCTTCCTAGTTCTCAAGTTCCAATAGTAGGATCAGATAGCATTTCCTGTACTGTGTGAGTCATTTAAGAAGTCGTCTGGCTTTCTTGGAACACAGGTGGAAAACACCTTGGCCTACAGTAAAGATCCTTCCTACCCAGGAGGAGGTTGGGCTGGCCAGGGCAGCTGTGCTTGGGCCAAAGCAGCAGGGTCCTGCCCTCTGCAGGGAACAATCTGGGGAGGGAGAGGCCCACAGCCTGGGACTAGAAGTGCCAGGGGCTGAGAAACAGGAGTCCTGGGTAGGGTCCCAGCTTCCCTCCTGTCTCTCCAAGTTTGAGTCCTTCACCTGAAAAACTGGCATCATAATGCCCACCTCAGGGGCAGTTGAGTTAAATTATCCAGTGGACTTGAAGCATCTAGGACTTGTGGTGATGCACGTCAGCAAATGTGAGTTCCCTCCCCTTCTGGCACTGTGTTCTCAGGGGAGCCACCATCCATCAGCCAGTACTCAAGGAGCACAGATGACACGTGCAGTGCGGATGGGTGGCTATTCTCTGTGTCCCAGGTTTTCCAGGCCTGAGCATGGGGGCCAGGAAGCAGCTCTGGTGTCAGAAGGGGGACAGAGCTGTTGGCATACTCCATCCCTGCCTCCGAATGCAGGGAAGAAGCAGAGATGCGATTTTGCTCACTAGTTAGACCCTGGCTTCTCTCTGTGTTGACATGGACAGCAGAGGGGGTTAGATGAGAAGCAAATGTTGCAAAAGCAATGAAGAAACTTTACCTTCCAAAATCACCCTGACTTGAGCTCATTGTAGAAGGAACAGGAGCAAAGAGAAGAACACTTGTCCCTTCCATCCGGGAGACATGCATCACATTCTGAAGATCCACTAACTGGCCCAGCAGTGGTTGGAGGCTAGAGGTTGGCCTGGGACATGGGGGGATTCGAAGCATTGGTGTCCTCAGGGTGTCTCATTGGGCAGAGACCTCCCAGGGGCAGAGGCTTCCTCCTCTCCAGTCATAGCTCAACACTGTAACGTAGTAACGCGGGCGTGTTATGACACTTTACCAAGCCCTCTCCTCGTAGGTGTTGGCAGCAGCATTCCTCACAACCACCCTGAGGTCAAATGTTGCAACCCCCATTTTACAGAGGAGGAAATTGAGCTTTGGAGAAGTTAAAGTCATTCGTCCCAGGTCTCTTAGCTAAGTGACAGTGCTGTGTCTCACAACCAGCCCTCTCTCCTCCAACCAGCAGCAGAGGCCATTTGGAAAAGTGCTCGGGTCAGCCCAGGGGAGGGCAGCTCTGCCCCTACCTCTGTGGAGCTTTCTGTGTGTGCAGCCCTCTCTTACTGTGGGTCCCCCTCCCTCCTGTTTTCCCAGGCGCTGACGGACCTCCAGACCACTCCCATGGATTTGTGATCAGCGTGGGCCACTCTCCCAGGAGGCGTGGACAGCGGTGAGTCCCCTCAGCAGGCTGGGGCAGGATTCTGTCCTCACCTCTCGGCTTCCCTGGCTCCATCGGAGCCCTCCTCTACTGGTCTCCTTGCAAACTCCCAAGGCTGCTGGGGGACACGCCCAGTGTGGAGTCCACGCAGCCTTCAGCACTTCACTCCCGATGGCTGATGGCAACTGTCGGTGTTCTTTGTCCATTTTATGTCTTTACTTTTCAAAAACATTTTATTGTATAGGCCTAAATTTGCTTATTTTTAATAACTAAAATTGTACCTGCTTGTTTACAAAAAAAAAAATCATACCATGTAGAAGCACACCATGTAGAAATGCAGGTCCTCAGCTATGGGTGTTACTCCATGCTCCCTCCTGGTCCCGTGTTCCCCCAAACCCTATAAGCCAGCTACCAGTATTATCCCTCTTCTGTAGATGGGTAAACCGAGTCACAGAGCGATTAAGTGTTCGGTCTATGATCACAGGCTAGGAAGTGACAGAGCCAGGGTTCAACCTCAGTGAGCTCTTACTTCCACCACCGTGCCCATCAAGCCATTTATCTCAACAACCTCAAAGTGTCTCCCTAGGAGGAATTAATTCTTAAGCAAAATATAAGAATTCAGTATGAAAAAATATTTCCCTCTGCATATACATAGACAATAGGTAGGTAGGTAGGCACACAGACAGATTTCCACACTATGGAAACTGGAGAGCAAACTGGACGTTTGCTCTCAGCATAGACTAGATCATCATGGCTTATGTCTTAACTTCACGTTCCAGAAGAGCGCTAGACTGATACTGTCATGGTCTTTGGAGACCCCTCGGTGGTCCGGTCCTGGGGCTGCTCTCTGGAGGCACTGGGCAGTGGTTGTGGCATAGAATGGATGTAGGGGGTGAGGTTCCTAACCGCTGCTCTCTTCTCCCGAAGGCCCCCAGGCCGGCAGCATGTGGCTACCGCGTGTGTCCAACTCGGCGGTGACCGCACTCCTGCTGGCACAGACCTGCCTCCTGCTCTTTCTGGTCTCCCGGCCAGGGCCGTCGTCCCCATCGGGCAGCGAGGAGCGAGTGCACGTGCTGGTGCTGTCCTCGTGGCGGTCGGGCTCGTCCTTCGTGGGCCAGCTCTTCAGCCAGCACCCTGATGTCTTCTATCTGATGGAGCCCGCTTGGCACGTGTGGTCCGCCCTGTCGCACGGCAGCGCTTCCGCGCTACACATGGCCGTGCGCGACCTGGTGCGCTCCGTCTTCCTGTGCGACATGGACGTGTTCGACGCCTACATGCCCTGGCGCCGCAGCCACAACCTATCCGACCTCTTCCAGTGGGCGGTGAGCCGTGCGCTGTGCTCGCCGCCGGCCTGCAGCGCCTTCCCCCGCGGCGCCATCAGCAGCGAGGCCGTGTGCAAGCCGCTGTGCGCGCGCCGGCCCTTCAGCCTGGCGCAGGAGGCCTGCCGCTCCTACAGCCACGTGGTGCTCAAGGAGGTGCGCTTCTTCAACCTGCAGGTGCTCTACCCGTTGCTCCGCGACCCCGCGCTCAACCTGCGCATCGTGCACCTGGTGCGCGACCCGCGGGCCGTGCTGCGCTCTCGCGAGCAGACGGTCAAGGCTCTGGCGCGCGACAACGGCATCGTGCTGGGCACCAACGGCACCTGGGTGGAGGCCGACCCCGGCCTGCGCGTGGTGCGCGAGGTGTGCCGCAGCCACGTGCGCATCGCTGAGGCGGCCACGCTGAAGCCGCCGCCCTTCCTGCGCGGCCGCTACCGCCTGGTGCGCTTCGAGGACCTGGCGCGGGAACCGCTGGAAGAGATCCGTGCGCTCTACGCCTTCGCCGGCCTGAGCCTCACGCCGCAGCTCGAGGCCTGGATCCACAACATCACGCACGGTACCGGACCCGGCGCGCGCCGCGAAGCCTTCCAGACCTCGTCCAGGAACGCGCTCAACGTCTCCCAGGCCTGGCGCCACGCGCTGCCCTTCTCCAAGATCCGCCGCGTGCAGGAGCTGTGCGCGGGGGCGCTGCAGCTGCTGGGCTACCGGCCGGTGTACTCTGACGACGAGCAGCGCGACCTGGCCCTGGATCTGGTGCTGCCACGCGGCCCGAGCAGCTTCAGCTGGGCATCGTCCGCCGGCGCGCACCGGGTGCCTTAGTCTAGGTCTGAGTTGGGGCGGTTGTTGGGCTTGGGAGGCGAGTGCCTGGTGCAGAGGGGATGGGGCACATGGGGAAGCAGGTCCTTCTGCTGCTAGGGACTGGGAGTGCGGGGACCTGCCCTGCAGTGGGAAAGGACTGAGTCCCAAACTCCATGTTTCTTTCTCTCCCGATTCTTGGCTTTCTTTTCAGTCCTCTTTATAAGCCGAATCGTCATCAGGTGCACTGTTCCTGGCAAGTGAAAATCTTGCCCCGCTCTTCCTTTGAGCACAGGAGAAAGTTCAGATGATTTGGCTCCCAGTCAAGCGCTTTCTTTCCTCTTAACTTCTCCCCCTTTGGAATCCACTGCCGCAGCCGCGCCGAGAGGGTTCTGCAGCCCTGGCAGTGAGTTAAAGGGCACCGAAGTCTGTACATCACACACACACACACACACACACACACACACACACACACACACACACACACACACCCTGGACTCTCCTCCGTATGACTGGCACCACACTCCATTAAAGCCCATTGGCCTTTAAATTCCCCTGTGTCTTCAGTGAGAAATCAGACAAGACACCTCTTGTCTTGTGGTCTCCCACTGGCCTCTCCCTACCCACCTCGCAGGAGCCCCCCCTCCCATCACCCGCCCCAGGTCAGGGGAACCTTTGATTCTCCTAACAAAGGGAAAGACCCTACTACAGAAATGAAAATGATAATTTACCGTGTGATACAGATTAGAGTTTAAAGCCTGCAACGTTTTGAAAAGCAACTCAGAAGTGAAGGGACTTGTCCAAGGTCACACGGTGAGAAAGGGATGAAGGGAAGAGAGAGATTTTGCTCTTGATTCCACTGGGAAGAGAGGTGAATCAGGTTTGCAGTGACCCGTCTCCTGGATGAAGAGGGTCAGATTTTCCCGAGTTCCTTATCTAGGGAACAGTGGGCAGAGTCATGCGCAGGGACACAGCTGGGGATACAGGAGGCTGTAAATTCTGTGTGCAGAGCTTATCATCCTGGATGAGCCAGGATGGGCAGGGTTGAGGGGGCCAAGGCAGCAGCCCGGTGCAGCGGGTGCCAGACATTAGAGGTGCAGGCATCGAGTGCTTGGAAGGCAGGTGGGGGCCGGTCATGGGTGAATGCAACCTAGTGCAGACATCGCAAGGAGGTATGGACAGAGGAAGGTTCTGGCTAACTTCTGTCTTCCTTGGGACTTCTGGGCCAGGCCCAGGAGGAGAGCAGAGTGAAATTCCTGCCCACAGGCCATACCACCTGGCTCTGTCACAAGGGGCCTTCATGGAAAGAGTGTGGACTGTGTAGGCAGGGCTTAGTTCCTGAGTATCAGAAAAAATAGATATAAAAAAAGGCAATAGGGAAAAGGAAGAGAGAGAATAATAACCCTACAATATTATAGTACTCCATAATATGATGAAACAAAAAAAATAAATAAAATGTGAAAAAAAAAAAGAAAGAAAAGCTCACAGGCTGGGCATGGTGGCTTACATCTGTAATCCTAACACTCTGGGAGGCTGACTCAGGAAGATCATTTGAGCTCAGGAGTTCGAGACCAGCCTGAGCAAGAGTACAGACCCTATCTCTACTAAAACAAACAAAATAGAAATTAAGTCTGGACAACAAATTAGTACTATATAACAAATTACGCCGGGCATGGGTGGTGCATGCCTGTAGTCCCCAGCTAAACTCAGGAGGCGGATGGCAAGGAGGATTGCTTGAGCCCAGCGAGTTGAAAATTGCTCGTGAGCAGCTGACGCCACGGGTAACTCTACCAGGCCCACAGAGTGAAGACACTGTCTCACAAAAGAAAGAAAGAAGAAAGGAAGAAACGAAAGAAGACGAGAGAGGAGAGAGAGAGGAAGAGAGAGGAAGAGAGAGAAAGAAGAGGCGAGGGGAGGAGGAAGTGAAGAAAAGAACGGAAGGAAGGAAAGGAAAGGAAAGGAAAGGAAAGGAAAGGAAAGGAAAGGAAAGGAAAGGAAAGGAGAAAAGCTCACAGAACCTCTGGGAAGGACAAGGAAGCAGATCTGAGGCCACACAAGTCAACCCAATTACACTGGGTTTTTTTTATCTCTGAAACGAGGGAGCTGCCTTCACGGTCAGTTGCCGGGAGGGAGGCTGGTGGCCATTAGTTTCTGACTCTCAACCTGGGTATGGGCTTGGATTGGTAGGACCTGGGTTGTGGAATGACATCCTCACAAGGAAGCAGACAGGACAAGGAGGATCTGGCATTTTCTGCTTTACTTGGAGTAAGCAGAGGTTTATTAACTTTGAAGCTGGAGCCAGTTGGAGACTACTTCCCACTTTAGAAGCTTCAGTCCACAGAAAACATGGCTCTTTCCCTGCTGACATAACAAGGGGAAGGTATTTTAAACCACAGATTTATTATTGGGTATTCTGCAGCTTAGAAACTGTTAGTCTATTCAAGCGGTTGCAACAAAAATACTTCATTTTTTTTTTAAGAGATGGGATCTTATTCTGTCGCCCAGGCTGAGCACATTAGCATGATCAGAGCTCACTGCATCCTCAAACTGGAGTTGAGTATGTTGCCCAGGCTAGTCATGAACTCTTGGCCTCAGGTGACCCTCACACATCGGCCTCCCAAAGTACTGGGATTACAGGTGTGAGCCATAGCGCCCAGACTATAACAAAATAGACTGAGTGACTAATAAACAATAGAAATTTATTTCTCACGGTTCTGGAGATTGGGAAGTCTAAGATCAAGGCACCAGTGGAGTCTGATGAGGAACCCCTGCCTCACAGATGGTGCCCCCTAGCTGTGTCCTCCCATGGCAGAAGGGGTGAGGCAGCTCTCTGGGGCCTTTTTATGAGGACAGTAATCCCATTTTTGAGGGCTTCCCTCTCATGATCTAATCACCTCCCAAATATCATCAGTTTGGGGGTTAGGATTTCAACATATGAATTTGGAAGTTGGAGAGACAAAAATATTCAGACCATAGCAAAAAGGCATGGGTCACATGGATTACTACATGGGCTAGGATTTGAACTCACATCTTTGACTTCAATACCCACGGTCTCAACAGTAAATCACACTGGGGATGGAGATGGCCTATGACAAAGGAGCCCCTCACAGGCTTGTAGAGCAAGATCATCTAGCTCTGACAATGACATGTTTCTCTAGGGCTCTTGGCAATGGGTTACTCACATCTGGAGGACCACAATGTTGAGGGGTGTGGTGGGCAGTTGGCTGGAGCGCTGGGCCCCTGTTGCTGGCCTTTTTCCTCCCTGTGTTCCCCATAGCCCCCTACCCACACCCTGCCCTGTCCTGGGCACTGGGGATTAAAGCAACCTGCACTCTCTGCCTCGAAGGAGTCCACTGTCAAGGGGGGGAGTCAGCCTGGGAACAGCCAGCCAGTGTGGTATGTTCAGGCAACAAAAGATGAGCAGGAGGCTCATGCTGCCCCCAACTCAGCACAGGGAGATGCTGATGCCTGGTGGGGTCTAGGAAGGCTTGGATGGGCTCAGAGCCCACCTGACAGTGGCATCATCCCACCAGTCACATCCACCCCTGTTTAGGTCATGGATTATATCAAGTGTTGGCATTAACAGCCTCTCTGTGTCTACGTCCTTTGCTCTATGACTCATCCGTTCTCCCCTGACTCCCCAGATGCCAGGACACGGATGGCTGGCTCCCAGATCTGTACCCTGCACATGGGGCACTCCAGGAAAGCCTCCAGTGAGCCCAGATCAGGTTTCAGGACAAAGACAGAGGGTGGCCTTGCTGACTAGGGACAATGAAGCCAAGGCTGGTGACTCAGGGGAAGCAGATACTTGTGTTGTTGCTCACATATGCCTGGTCCCCGTTACGATGTAGTCATGACAGCGAAGTTTTATTGCTGGGGACTGTCCAAGCTGTGATGGGGCGGAGACCTGTGGATTGCTGTGGGGATAACTGTACCGAGGCTGCCATCATGGCTGCTGTATCCACACTTTTTGCTCCATGACTACAGCTCCTGTGGATACAGAAGCTATTATTGTAGCCTCATTTTCCCCACTTCTGAATCTGGAGTGGTCCTGACTTGCGTTGGCCAGTAGAATGTGCCACAGTCCCAGTGTGCCAGGTTCGAGCCTAGGGGAGGAGAGGCAAAACTTTACCTTTAGACATCTTGGGCTTCCAGCTGGGGCTCTGCTGTGGTTTGAATGTGTCTCCCAAAGTTCATGTGTTGGGAACTTGAACCCCACTGCGGCAGTGTTGGAAGGTGGGGCCTACTGAGCTGTGATTAGGCCATGAGGACTCTGCCCTCATGGAGGGATTAATGCTGTCACTGCAGGAGTGGATTGGTTATCGGGGCAATGGTGTCTTATCGATGAACTAGCTCGGACCTTTTCTGTCTCTCTTGCCCTCTCTTTGCCCGTCCACCATGTGCGGACTTCGGCCACACTAGGACGCAGTAAGAAAGCCCTTGCCAGATGCTGGCTCCTAGACCCCGGGCTTCCCAGCCTCCAGAACTGTGAGCCGATACATTTCTGTTCATTATGAATTACCTGGTCTGTGGTGTTGTGTCATGGCAGCTTCTTAGGTGCCTTCAGCTATAAATAATTTTATGTCAGAGGCACATTTGGGGACGATGTGTTCTGCTTTCTCTCACCCTGGCGAGAACCCACGTGCTTCTCCTCTACTGCGGACCTCTGCCTCTGCGGTGGGAACAAGCCCAGGCCAGCTAGGGACCGTGTGGAGGAGAGTCCAGTTGTCCCGGTCAAGGCCCTCCTAGACCGGCCAGCCCCTGCCCAGCTGACCAGCACCTGCCACTTCTGCTCCACTCTACTGGCCGGGCTAGCAGGTCCCAGGGCAGCCCAGACTCAGAGGTGGGGAAACTGACTCCACCCCTTGACAGGAGGACCTGTGAGGACACAGGAGCAAGACCACCTAAGACCAGAACTACCCAGCTGAGTCCTAGACTTTGGAGCAATAAAAATGCTCATTCCGTTGAAATCATTTGAGTTTGGGGAGGTTAGTTACGTAGCATCGCCTAATGGGTACAGTGGAGGCTGGAGCGCTCCTGGCGCCCTGTAGCTCCTGCCTTTGCACCAGAGCCCATGCCGCGCCCCTCTGCTGCTGGGGCTGGAATGATCCCCCCCTAGCCCTTACCTGTGGGCCCAGCCATGACCAACAGTCAGCTGCAAGCGTGCTTGCTGCCCCTGCTGTGGGGGTGGAAGTTCAGGAGGAGACAGGGAAAGTATTGAGAGAACTTGGTGGGCTCACAAGGGAAAATGTTTCCTGTTACTTTTCTGGTGCACAGAACCCATCAACTATTGAACAAGCTGTAATAATATAAATGATGTGCCTTGTTTTGTTGTTATTTTATAATCAAGAAAATATTACGACTTCCACATCAGCAGTGTGTCAACCTATTATGGCTGACACAGACCCTCTGTCTCCAAACTCCAGCTTCCCACCTGCTTTAGGGTTTGGCTTCAAGGTGTCTTTGTCACCCTCTCCTACCAAGTCCCCAACATGCCCCATCCACCTGTACAGGGTGAAATCAGTCGTTTTCATTTTTTGCCTATCTGAAGGGTGAGAAATGTCATTTGCTGGTGTTGTAATCCACGTTTCTTTAATTCCTGGGGAAGCTGAGCATCTTTTCCTGCTTATTCATCAACTTCATTCCTTTTTCTTTGTTCAAGGGCTTTGCTCCTTTTTCTGTTGAGTTCCTGGTCTATCTCTTGATTATGTTTTGTCATTTGTGTTGCAAATACTTTCTCATAGTCTGTCATGTCTCATAGTCTGTCTCATTTTTAAACTACTTTATGATGTTTTTCCTAAGGCTGCTTTAAAAATAAAAAACAGCTTTGTTGAGATGTAATTGACATACTATATCTACACATATTAAAAGTGTAGGCCGGAGAGGGTGGCTCATGCCTATAATCTTAGCACTCTGGGAGGCCGAGGCAGGAGGATCACTCAAGGTCAGGAATTCAAAACCAGCCTGAGCAAGAGTGAGACCCCTGGCTCTACTAAAAATAGAAAGAAATTTATTGGCCAACTAAAATATATAGAAAAAAATTAGGCGGGCATGGTGGTGCATGCCTTTAGTCTCAGCTACTTGGGAGGCTGGGGCAGAAGGATTACTTGAGCCTAGGAGTTTGAGGTTGCTGTCAGCTAGGTGACACCATGGCACTCTAGCCCGGGCAACAGAGTGATACTCTGTTTCAAAAAAAAGAAAAAAGTGTAGAATTTGATTAGTTTAAACATATGAATATACCTATGAATTAAATTACCACCTCACCACAATGTATCATGCTGTTGAACATGAAACCTTATCTTCCAGCTTCTGGATTTTGTTTTTTGTTCCAAAGACTTTGTCCTCAAGATAACAAAAGTGGTCTTCACATTTGCTTCCAATGCTTTAGTAGTTAGTGTTTCCCGTTTGGATCTATAATCTTATGGAATTAATGCTGCTGACCAGGGTGAGGTGAGGTCAGGTATCTTTATTTTTTCAGGTAGTCAGTTCTCCCAGCGCCCTCTACTGAAGGATCTCGATCATCACACATCTCGATCCAGCAAGGGCTGGAGACTATTCCTTCCCCAAATCCCTCTGTGCACCAGTGGATCAGCTGGGCTATTCCTTTAGGCCCAAGGTCATGACCTCCGTGCTAAAGTCAAAGAGATTAGCCCCTCCCCTCACAAGTTAGTTGACTTGGATTTAAGCATCCCTTTCTCCCAGTGGATTCTTTCACAATACAGATACATCCCCACAGAGCAACTCCTTATTCCGTGAATAACTCTTTAGACCATGTTCCTCCAAAACTAGAGCAAAAGCCTTGTTGCAGTGGAACGGATTGGCCAACGAGAGGTTTTTGTTTTTTAATTTTTTTTTTTTTTCTTTAAGGGGCCAACAGCGACAACGAGAGGTTTTTGCAAGGTAGGAAGTCCTTCCTGCTAATTATTTTCTCCCATGGAGGTAAGACCAGAGAACCTGGCCTGCCCAGATATGTATGTGTCACCGGCCCCAGCAGATGCCTTGAAGTTCTCCAATCGGTGATGTGAATTCCTTTCTTCCAAGCAGAGTGATCAAAGCAGTCTGATCTGGGTCACCATGTGTTTATGAGCTGGTGAACATTTAAGGAGAATATGACTTAATTGGGCACATATACCCAGCCACGAACTTGTGATTGTGATGCATGCAGCTGGAAAGCCTGTATGTTTCGACATTGTCATCTTCATTTCCTACAGTTGAAATTCCTGATCACTGCTGTGCAACCTAGCTTCATTCTGAAAGTATTTTTGTTCTTTTTTTTTTATTTCTACATATTATGGGGGTACAGATTTTAAGGTTTCAATAAATGCCCATTTCCCCCCTCCCCCCACAAGTCTGAGTCTCCATCATGACCATCCCCTAGATGGTGCACATCTCACTCATTTTGTATGTATATATCCGCCCCCCTATTTTTGTTCTTTTAAGTCTGTGTGTCTGAGCAACTAGAATGGGTTTTTGTTTTTGATAAAGTGAAAAATTCTTTGAATTTCATGCTTAGAAATTAGTGTTGTTGCATACAAGAGCACCATTCTAGGTGCTGGAGAAAAACAATAAACAAGACAGAAAACACCCCTGCTCTCATGGTGTTTGCATTCTGCTGGGACAAAACAAAAAGCAAATATGTCAGGTAATAATAGGTGCTTTATAAGGCAGGGTAGGTGACTAGAGAGTGATGGTGGGATGAAATGCTAATTAAAGTGGTTGGCATATTTTAGGAATAGGAAGAAATTCCCTGTTGTGGGAGCTGAACAAACAAAGGAAGAGTGTGTTAGAAGTTCAAAGAGATCTAGAACAAAAGCAGTGTTGATTCTTGAATTCCATGTGTAGAACTTTGGATTTTACTTGGAGTGAGATGAGAAGTCAGTCTAGGGTTTATGCAGGGCCGTAACACAATCAGACTTCCTTTTTAAGTGATCATGCTAGCTTAGTAGACTGTAGGGGGTGATGGCAGAAGCCAGGAAATGGTTAAGAGGCTATTATGATACTCCCAGTGAAAGATGATGTTGGTTTAGGTCAAGATGGTATCTTTGGAGGTGGAGAGAAGCAGTTATATTCTGGATATACTTTGAAGGTAGAGTTTGTAAAAATTGCTAATAGATTGGATGTGATATGTGAGGGACAGGTCAAAGTCAAGATTTTTGTAAGGATGGAATTGCCATTTACTGAAATAGGGTGGTGTCATTTTGGGGAGTGAAAATCAAGAGTTTGGTTTAAGCATATTAAGTCTGAGATGCCCAAGAGACACATCCAAATGAAGATGTAGAGCAGGTAAATGAGTCTCAAAGTCAGAGAAGTCTTTAAAGTTATTGAATCAGATGAGATTAGCTAGGCAGTAAGTGAAATTATGAAAATATCTATTTCACAAATAGAACTAAACTTCGAAGAATGAAGATTGTGTTCCATGTCATATCAGTGAATCCAAGCAGAGTCATCAAGGCAGTCTGGTCTGGGTCATCATCTGTTTCTGAGCTGGTGAACATATAATAGGAATATATTCACTTAATTGGGCATAAGAACCCTACCATGTGCTTGTGAATGTGATGAAGGAAGTTACAAATTGGACTCGAGTCCCCTGCTTCCCTTTACAGAGCTGGTCATTGTGTCCTAGTCCAAGGCACATGTATATAACCTTGCATGTGAAGAGTTTAGTACACTTGTCAGGGGGAAGATCCACTGCTCACACATTCATAGCCACATGTCCTGACAGTCTCAATGATGTGCACTGTCTTTCTGTCTTCTATCTTTACCTACTTTTTTGGTGTCTTTCTCCAGTTCACCATTTTAATTGTCTTATCTCATCTGCATTGATCATACACATCACTTTTACCTATTGGGTCATTGTCTCTAGCTATTGAATGTTCTAAGAACGGTGGGATGCCTTCCTTGAGGGGGAGGTTAGTTGAGGAGGTGAGTCAGAAGGAGAAATAGGATAATGGATATATGCAATTAAACATTAACAGATCTATAAAGCACAGAGAATGAGTTTCAAACTTTGGAGAGTTGTACAAACACGGATACTGAGGGACCAGCACAAAGCCAAGTGAGAATTAATAAGAAAGAATTCACAGAGAATGTGAATCTTCTGATGCAGAGAGAAGGGTACATTTTTCAAAGTGTAAACTTTCTTTTCCAGATAAAAACAAAGGCTGGGGTTGGAAGAGGGAATTGGGAAGCAATATAAATAAATGCCAAGGTGAAAGACATGTTGGAAAGCCTTGAAGACATTCAGGAGTTCTAAGCTGATTCAAGTGACCTTAAACAGCATCTTTTCTAAAGGAGAGGAACACAATTAAAAGACACACTTTTTAAGAAAATGACTCTTAAAAAAGAACCAGCTTAGAACTCCTGAATGTCTTCAAGGCTTTCCAACATGTCTTTCACCTTGGCATTTATTTATATTGCTTCCCAATTCCCTCTTCCAACCCCAGCTTTTGTTTTTATCTGGAAAAGAAAGTTTACACTTTGAAAAATGTACCCTTCTCTCTGCATCAGAAGATTCACATTCTCTGTTAATGGATATTACTATCCATTATTACTAAATACTTTTGCAAAGCTCATGGCATCTGAGGGAAGTCTGAGGCACTTTGTATACCCAAATTCTTAGCATTCACCCTCTTTCAGCAGTGACTTATCCACAGTATCTGTTTGCTTCTGTTGAAAGGAGGTTGGGAGGCAAACACACCCTTCCTGAAGAGAGAGTAACTCAAAGGAGTCAAAAACCAGATTCATCTATTCTTGAATGCCCTTATTTTATTTAAATAAATGAAAGCCATCCACTTTAAGCATCGATACAACATAATGTCAGAATCATACCATAGGTTTAAGCTAAACAATTGCTGTATTTAAGAGCTGTGTTGTCATCCCAGAAAAGTTTTAAAGCAAGAATTTCTAGTACTGGACCCAATGACATATCAAAAACATTTTATGGTTAATGACATTAATTGTTGTCTTGGACTGTGATAAAAACCATGGGATAGTTTTCTCACATGGGCAGGTCTTGACACTTCTATCTGTGTTGTGTTGTCTGTTTTGTTAGGATCTCAGCTGTTCTCTTCATCTAATAGCCCTTCTAGGTTTCCTCTAAAGTAGGGGCATCAACGACTAGACTCCACTTTGAGCATAAACCTCACACTCTAACACTGCACTGTGATCATTCAGAACATTTTGATGAAGAGCTTTGCTGTAAAACATAGTTTTAAAAAAGAAAATCCTCTGCCATATTGGCCTGGGGAAAGAAAAGGCCTTCAGTTTTTGTTTTTGTTTTTTTTCTTTTTTGAGACAGGGTATTGCTCTGTTGTTGCCTGGATTTGAGTGCAGTGGCCTCATCATAGCTCGAAGCAACCTCAAACTCCTGGGCTGAAGCAAGTCTCCAGCCTCAGCCTCCTGAGTCGCTGGGACTACAGGCATGTGCCCCTACACTCGGCTAATTTCTTTAATCTTTTATAGAGATAAGGTCTCACTGTGTCCCAGGATAGTCTCCAACTCCTGGGCTCAAGCGATCATCCCGCCTCAGCCAACAATTCAATTAAGTGATAAACCAATGTTATCTTTGGAGACGACCATAGCTTCCCCTAAAACCCCCATAGCTTTCCCTAAAACCTGGAGCCTAGCTTGTACCCAATACAGTGTAACAAAGCACGTCTGAGACAGCTACGTAGTGATTCTCCTCTATCCCTCCTACGCCCTGGGGATTTGTGTTCTTCCGTTCCCGCGGGTGTCCTGCTATGGAGCATCGTGGAAGCAGCAGAAAACTTGGAGGCAAAGGAACCTGGCTGTGGTCTTAGCCCAGGACCATGGCACTGGTTGGATTTCAGTATGAACCAAACTGGGGGCTCATACGTGACACAGAAGCAGGTCTTTAATTGTAAATCAACTTTCATGAAATCTTATTTTACACCAATGTCCACAAAGACGATGGCTACGACTCAGGTCCACGGAAACATCCTATTACGCGACCCCTCAGCCTTTAAGTAGACGCGCGCGTTAAGCAAGGGCCACGGTCCATCCGCGCGCGCCGCCGCGCTAGCCCCGCCCCGCCAAAGCCCCCGTCCTTGCGATTGGTTCCTTTGCCTGCGCGCGCCGGTTGCCATGGAGACCACGGCGATGGCAACCAACAGAAACCAAACTTGCTCGTCTGTCGCGAATCGCCGCGGGACCCCGACGGGCGGTCCGGCTGCGCGCGACGCTCATGGCGCTCCACGAGCTCTTCTCTCACCCGGTGGAGCGCGGCTACCGCGCGGGGCTCTGCTCCAAAGCCGCGCTCTTCCTGCTGCTGGCCGCCGCGCTCACCTACATCCCGCCGCTGCTCGTGGCCTTCCGGAGCCACGGTGAGTCTGCCGCGGCCGGTGCGCCCCTCAGCTCCCCGCGGCCCGCTCGGCCCTGGCCGGCCGTCCTGACCGCGTCCCCACCGCCCTCCTTGACTCAGGCTTTTGGCTGAAGCGGAGCAGCTACGAGGAGCAGCCGACCGTGCGCTTCCAGCACCAGGTGCTGCTCGTGGCCCTGCTGGGACCCGAGCCCGGCGGGGTCCTCGCCTGGAGCACGTTCCCCGCCTTCAACCGGCTGCAGGGGGATCGCCTGCGCGTCCCGCTCGTGTCGGTGCGTGGTTCCCGCCCGGGGCTGAGCGCGGGTGGAGGGTGGTGGAGCGGGGCGGACGCCTCCGGCCCGGGCAGCCCACTGTGGGCCCGCAGGGCTCCAACCCCGCGGAGGCTGTGCAGACAGGCTCTCTGGCCTGCGCATGCGTTTAATTTCCAGGGAGCAGATGTGGTGTTTTATTCCCCTTCGGTCAGGCGTTCACAGCCCCCAGAAAGTTAGCCGGGCTGTCCGCGTGTGTGTCCTGACAGAGGCCGGAAGTCTGGGGGCGGCCTGCCCCTGCCCCGCCTCACGTCCGTGGGCCCGGCCTCACGGAAGGGTGGTTACGAGAAGTCCCGTTAGGAGCCTTGAAGGCCGAGCGCTGTCCATGTCGATAACCCCCGCGACGGTGTCGCTGCGAGTCTACATCCCAACACTGTAGGAAAGGAAAGCGCGGGCATTTTCATGCAGACTTGAGTCTTGGAACCAGGGCGCCTATTGGTTCTGCGACCTCCCTGGAGTATGGTCTGGGTGAGGGGCGCCTCCCTGGGCTCATCTCTCCTTAGATGCCGGGCCACCCTGCAGCTTCCCCGGGATGAAACTGAAGCATTTTACCGTCTAAAATTTAGTATTCGGTTCCAGATGAGCAAGCGCTTCCTTTACACTCACCCCTCTACACACTCATTTTCTGAAAACATTTTATTTCAGAAGTTCTGATTTTCCATGAGTACGTGCTCATTATATTAGAGTTGTAGGTACACATAATGACAGCAAATTAAGGGCTCAGTTTGGTACATGTGTCAGTACTTGTTGATCAATCGTATTCTTTTTCAGGTTTGCAAAGTATTTCGTGATATAGGACAAGTGTAATGTATTTAATCAGTTCCATGTTGGTGGATATTTGATTTGCTTTTTCACTAGTATGGATAATATTTCAATAAACAAAATTTTAACCAAATTTGATCCCTTTAAACATCAAATTGTGAGGAAATAGAATAGAAGCTGGTTTTGAAATTGTGTAAGTATGCAGAAAACTAGGGAATCAGGCCAGGCGCGGTGGGTCACGTCTGTAATCCTAGCACTCTGGGAAGCTGAGGCAGGAGGATTGCTTGAGGTCAGGAGTTCGAGACCAGCTTGAGCAAGAACGAGACCCCGTCTCTACTAAAAATAGAAAGAAATTAGCTGGACAACTAAAAATATTTAGAAAAAATTAGCCGGGCATGGTGGTGCATGCCTGTAGTCCCAGCTACTCGGGAGGCCAAGGCAGGAGGATCGCTTGAGCCCAGGATTTGGAGGTTGCTATGAGCTAGGCTGATGCCCAGGCAACAGAGTGAGACTCTGTTTAAAAAAAAAAACCAAACCCTAAAAATCAATAGAAATTTTAAAGAAATTAAGTATGTAAAATGGTGCGGACACTTTGGAAAACCATTTGTCAGTTCATCAAAAAATTAAACATAGAGTTACCCTATGACCCAGCATTTCCATTCCTAGGTGTATACCCAAGAGAATTGAAGACATATATCTGCACAAAAACTTGTACACAAGTTCATAGCAGCGTTATTCATAATAGCAAAAATGTGGAAACAACCCAAATATCCATCTACAGACGAATGGATAAATGAAGTGTTATATATCCATACAGTGAAATATTCAGCCCTAAAAAAAATGGAGTCAAGATATATGCTACAACATAAATGAGTGATAAAAACATTTTGTTAGCTAAAAGAATCCAGTCGCGAATCAGCACATATTCTATGTTTCCATTTATGTGAAAATTCCAAAATAGACAGATCTATTGAGACAAAACGTACATGAGGGGTTGCCAGGACTTGAGGAAGAGAATGGGGGAGATCTAAGGGGAGTGACTGCTAATGGATATGGGGTTTCTTTTGGAGATCTTACAAATGTTCTCAAATTGCCATTAGATAGCAGTGACTATTAGTACACAACTTTGTATATGCTAAAATCTACTGAATTACATTTTTTCCCCAACCTCTATCCTCCCTCTTCTAAATCTCTGAATTAAATTTTTTTAGCGTATTATGGGAGTACAAATGTTAAGGTTACATATATTGCCCATGCCCCCCTGCCCCCTAGAGTATGAATTACATTTTTTAAAAAGTGGATTTAATGGTATATGCATCCTGTCTCAGTATGCAAAAATGCATGTAGGAGATGGCTGCACGCAAGCTGTAACAGGCATATGATAAGCATTTTATCATTATACTTTTAAATGTCTTTTACATAATACTTGGCCTGTAATAATCACTTGGTAAGTGCTAGCTATTAAGTTTTTAAAACTGTATTATCTCCTTAATCCCCCCAGTAACCCTGTGAGGTGGAGGTCTTACCTCCATTTTACAGATGAAGAAACAGATTCGGAAAATGGTATAATTTGCCTTAGCTCTCTACTGAACAGTCTGGACTGGAACTCAATATTTCCTGTGCCATAGCTTAAAATCTTAATCCTATTGTAACAAAATACTTTTATTTTCTAATTCTGGACATAAAGCCAGGCTAGTGTCAACCTGTCCAGGAAATTGTCCTTGAAGCAAAAGAAGCAGTGGTTTTGGATCAGATTTTAATCAAATGCTGGGAAGTGGCTATGCTGTTGTACATTGGGAAGTGACATAAAAGTCACAAACAATCTTGCTTCTGCTTCGGTCAGTTCACCTTGGACAGCATCTCTAGAGTCCCTGTGTTTTTAATGTAAGACTGTCTCTCTTTCCTCCAGCCTTACAGATTCCCTCTAGAGGGTCCTTCCTCCCAGCTCTGGAGGTCCTGGCACCAGCTGGGCAGTGCTCCTTCTTGAGGTCTGAGTCCCAGCTCCTTGAGGTCTCTGTCTCCTATAAGCCTCTATGTTCTAACTATCCCAACCCCTTCCCTCTCTCTTCCAGCTCTGGGTGTGGGAGCTGCTCCCTGTGGTTACTAGCTCTGTATACTGCAGCGTTCCCTTTGTACCTCATCAGTCTTCTAATACTGAGATCCCCAACCCTGGGCCATGGACCAGTTCCAGTTCATGGCCTGTTAGAAACAACAGCAGGAGGTGAGTGAGCGAAGCTTCGTCTGTGTTTACAGCCGCTCCCCACGGCTTGCATCACTGCCTGAGTTCCGCCTCCTGCCAGATCAGCAGCAGCATTATATTCTGCATTGTTGTATAATTATTTTGTTATATATTACAATGTAATAATAATAGAAATAAAGGACACAATGAGTGCAATGCACTTGAATCATCTGGAAACCATCCCCCTGCCCCCAGTCTGTGGAAAAATTGTCTTCAAATAGGACTGAAGCGAGTCCTATCTAGTACATTAGTATTGATTTGCCATGTAACTATAAAGGGTAACCCTACTTTAACCACCAGAAATCTTGGAAATTGGGGTTCTATGGGCTATTATAGAAGGATCACTGAATCAAGAATCAGCAGACCTGGGTTGTACTCTCAGTTCTTTCATTGGGTTCCATATACTCTCAGCCTCAATTTATTGTATATTCATAGTATAGTACTACCTACCTCTCTCCTGGGATATGTGGAGGGACCAGATGGGCCAATCAATGGATATAAAAATTGTTCCAAAATGTACATATACTTCATAGAAATAAGGTGGTGGTGTGATTTGTTAATTCTCTTAGCCAGACACCAATTGGATTTTTAGAATTTTGTATTAAAGAATAGTGGCTCTTTGAATGCCTTCCTTTATAGATGTGTTAAGCTTACTTTGAACTAAATAGAATCAAATAATTGACTTCATCAAAAGTCCAAGTGGTAATATAGATATGTAGCCAACCTTTGACATGCCACCCCGTGGGGTGAGAGTCTAAGTGACAGGTCTTTTGTGAGAGACACACCATTTGCGTCATTGATTCTCCCAGTGGCTCCGTCGGTGCTGCTCTCCCTTCTCACCCCTCTGCCCAGCGCACCGGCCCCGTGGGCACCCAGAGCAATGCTCTTGGTGGGCCTGGCTCACTCTTCCCCCGACACTCCTGGCTCATCACCTTGCTTCATCGAGTCTCCAACAAGTGAGGTCATCCTGAATAGTTTCTGTAAGAATTTCTGTTAAATTCTACCCTCATCATTCTCTAATTTCAGCCTGCTTCATTTCTCTTTATGGCACTTATTACTCTTTCATATTATTGTTTATTTGTTGATTTATTTTCTCCCTTCTCATCTGGGAATGTGGATGCTGTTAGGATGGGGACTTTGCCTAATTTGTTTGACATTGTATTCCCATTACTTGAAATAGTGCCTGACACATACTAGCGCCTCAAGAAGTACTTGACAGATGAATGAGCCAATTTAACAAGTAGACATTTTAGCTGGTACGGTGCCAGATCTCTGTCCTTTTTGTGCTTGCAGTGAAAGTGCACACAAGCAAGTGTACAGACTTAACACACTGCCTTTTGCAAGATTTCTTCTACCTAACATCTTCTATTTGCATTGATTTTTAAGGCTGGACATTTTAGTCCCAGAAAGAGGACCAGATTTGAAGTCAAAGACCCGATCTCAAATCCTGTCTTCACCACCACTAGCTGTACCTCTGATAAATGCACTAACCATGTGGCACCTTGATTTTCTCATCTGTCTCATGGGGATAATACTTGTTCTGCCTACTCGGACTTTACATTTATTATAAACATGAAGGGAAATGAGATTGTCTTTCTCCCACACTGTGTCAGACTCTAGATTCTTCTGGAGATTCTCTTCTGGCCAATATCCTCTTTCAAGAGGATAATGGAGAAATTTGATCTTTGCTTCCTCTCTAACACTAAATATCCAGAAGGCAAGGATACATTACACACAGTTAACTAAATGTTGTATTCCCAGTCTTCCCAGATACTGACTGAAGAAAATTCACAGGAAGACAAGGCCACCTCTGTTACATCCTGGTCATAATTTCTAGTATATAATTGCCTCGGAAACTTAGTTATCAGTCCTGGTAGCAGATATCCTTCCCGTCCACCTGGGAAGCTGATGGAACAGGACAGAGAATAGTGTCCAACAGAACGAGGAGGGTAGGTTTCTCGAAAGCAAGGCCTGGGGTAAGGACATTCAGAAGGAAGTGTTGAAAGATTCTGATTTTCTTCATCCCCAATGGCCTTTTTAGCCTGAAATAGAATAAAAAATCTCTTCCTCACATAATGGTAATGGTGGAAAGCAAAATAAACCCATGTATGGGGGATTCAGGTGGGAAAGCTGCTATTCCATAGTAGAGTCCTATGGGAACCTATGGTGAAAAAGGATCAGTTGTAGAACAAGATCCAGAGTTGTGTGGAGGAATCATGGCATCAGTGACCAACTTTGAGTAACCGTCCTTTTCTGCTAGTCATTTCATGTGCCTACATATACTGTGGGCATATGCTGCCTACGCTGCAATTTGTCTTTTTCCCTCCTCAGATTTCTCCCTGGTTCCTTACTTTCCTTACTCCCTGGTTCCTGTCCACAATTTATCAAATATCTGTGGTCTGCTGCTTTGCCAATTTTACTTAGCTTAGTTTTTCATCTTATTGATTGGTACTAAAAGTTGCACAAAGCTTTAAAGTCCTGACATGAATGATGGATGAGGTCCAACTTTAAGAATCTGCAGCAAAGACACTTGTGGTTTAAGAATGTATAAATAGAGCCTGGTGATTTTCTGTTGAGTTTGTTTGGGGAATGCATGATGATTAGAATTAGGTTCTTTTCTATTTTAAAAAGTTGCCTTGCAAAGAAGTAGAAGGTGATTGTGATGTGCTATTTAAATTTTCCATATAAATTCAGCATGTTTGTAACAACGAAAAACAGACACCAGTACAAACAAACCAAACCGAATGAGACAACTGAAAGAGACAAGTATTATCCAGATGTTTGTTCTTGTTGTTGCTACTTTAATTCCCCTTATTTCCACAGTGATTATTTCAGAGGTTCAAGTATGAAGTTCAGGGGCCATGCACACTGTGTCTTTTTCCCTAATATTGATGTGTTTACACCTGCTTATTTTTCTCTCTCTCTTTTGCTGAGGGAGGTAATGCCTGTGTAAGGCAGGGCAGTGGGCATCGTATATATACAGACGAGAATGTGCAATGTGAGGATGCTTCTTGTTGTCCATCTCCCTTGTTGCTATAAGTTACTGTTGAACAACTTTGGAAGTGATGTGGATTCTTCCAAGACCTATTAAGGACCAGGGCCACTGGCCCTCTTTGTGTTCCCTAGACAAGAGAAGAAGACAGAAACCAGGATGGGAAAATGGACAGGCTGCATTTTAAACTGGAGCTTCCCCTGCAGTCTACAGAGCACATTCTTGGTGTGCAGCTCATCCTGACATTCTCCTACCAACTGCACGTGAGTTGGGCCATTAGGGAGGCCATCCTCTCCCTTTGTGTGTTAATAGAGTAGAGCCCTCCTTCTGATTGCTAGGAAGACCCACACTGTTGCAGACTGTCTCCTGGGGTGTAGTTTGGAATCTGGTTAGGCCAGTTGAATGTTTTACCTGGGGTCATACTAGTTTATACGGGCTATCAGCAGCTCAAGGCTTTCTGCATGGCTACACCAGGTATGTGAAGGCCTGTTAGGCTTCAGCCAAGACTGGTGACTCTTAGAGCCCAGACACCTTCATATCTTGGGTGGTTGGTATTGTCTCTCCTTGTGCTGATTTCAGAGGATGTCGACGTTCGTGATGCAGAGCATGGCGTTCCTCCAGTCTTCCTTTGCCGTTCCTGGGTCCCAGTTACATGTGAATGGAGACCTGAGGCTGCAGCAGAGGCAGCCGCTAAGCTATGGTGGCCTAGATGTCCGATACAACGTGAGGATGCTGCTTGTTTTCAAGCTTCTTTGTCTCTTTATGTCACTGTTTATCAAGTTCTTGGAAGAGGGGGAATGAAAGCTGGAAACAGCATTTCTCTGTGGGTGGCTCAGAAGAGGGCTTCTGAGGAATTCTTGCCATGAATTCTTTCAAAATATATAGAAAGTACATCTGTATTTACTCCTAGAAGGACAGAGAAAATAATCTATCTTTGTCACAGAACCAAATTGTTTCTTGCTTTTATCTAAACACACTTAAACTCTCACTCTTCCATACACACACAATTATTCCAAGTGGTCATGTAAATGATCATGTAAAATATTTCAAAACTAATAGTTCAACCTGAGCAACATAGCAAGATTTATCTTTACAAAAACTAAATAAAATTATCCAGGTACAGTGACCTGCCCCTGTAGTACTAGCTACTCAGGAGGCTGAGGCAGGAGAATCCCATTAACCCAGGAATCTTGAGGTTGCAGTGAGCTATGACTGTGCCACTGTACTCTAGCATGGGCAACACAGTGAAACCCTGGTCACAATAATCCTGATAATAACCATACTTTATTTATTTATTTAGACAGAGTCTTGCTTTGTTGCCCAGGCTAGAGTGCCGTGGCGTCAGCCTAGCTCACAGCAACCTCAATCTCCTGGGCTCAAGGGATCCTCCTGCCTCAGCCTCCCGAGTAGCTGGGACTACAGGCATGCGCCACCATGCCCGGCTAATTTTTTCTATATATATTAGTTGGCCAATTAATTTCTTTCTATTTATAGTAGAGATGGGGTCTCGCTCTTGCTCAGGCTGGTTTCGAACTCCTGGGCTCAAGCAGTCCGCCCACCTTGGCCTCCCAGAGTGCTGGGATTACAGGCGTGAGCCACCGCGCCTAGCCCCATACTTTATTGAACAGGTAACACACCAGCCCTGAGTGAAATGGTTTGCATATATCATCTCATTTCATCATTACAGCAATCTCTGATACGCCTACACTTGTCATTTCCCAGCTCTCTGGTCGCTGGTCCTTTCACTGTCCCCCTGACTCCATTCCAGCCACACTGGTGTTCGTGCTGTTTCTCCAGCCTAGGAAGCAACTCCCACCTCAGCACTTTTGCACTCACTGTTCCTGTGGCCAGGAATCCATGTAGTTTATTGGACTCCTCCATGCATGTCCCTGAGCACAGTCCTTCCCTGACCCATGTTTCTAAAAAGCATTCCCGACCAGGGGCAGTGGCTCACGCCTGTAATCCTAACACTCTGGGAGTCCGAGGTGGGCAGATTGCTCAAGGTCAGGAGTTCGAAACCAGCCTGAGCAAGAGCAAGACCCCGTCTCTACTATAAATAGAAAGAAATTAATTGGCCAACTAATATATATATATATAAAAATTAGCTGGGCATGGTGGCTCATGCCTGTAGTCCCAGCAACTCGGGAGGCTGAGGCAGTAGGATTGCTTGAGCCCAGGAGTTTGAGGTTGCTGTGAGCTAGGCTGACGCCACAGGACTTACTCTAGCCAGGACAACAGAGTGAGACTCTGTCTCAATCAATCAATCAATAAATAAAAAAAATATAAAAAAAAAGGATTCCCCTGCCTCCATCTTCCCTCACCCAGACTGACTTTTCCTACTGCCACCTCACATACTAAAGGTATATTTTTGGTTTATTTGTTGTTTGTCTCAGTGTTAACAGTGCTGCCATCTTGTATACCATCACCCCAGTGCCTAAAACAGCACCTGGCACTTGGTAAGCTCTCAGAGAGATTTTTTGAAAGAACGAACTCTCATGTTGCACAAGAGTAAACCAAGGCTTACAGGGATTAATTTTCTCAAAGGCCCAAAGCTTACAACTAACAGAGCCAGTAACTGTCTCTCTGAGTCCAGAACTCAGGCATCTAATGCTTCATTCCTAAACTTTATTTTCTCACAAAGGAGACCATATAAGTTGGGCTGAGATACCTTTAAAGTGAAAGAAGGATTATCAGTTATTATAGCCATAAACCAGGACTGTTTCATATAAACTGGGATTTATGGTCACTGTAGGTATAATAAATGTAAGTTATAAAGTCAGGGGGACATAAAACTTAATATGGCACTTTTTATTATACATATATACATAACATATAAACTTATTGACATTTTTTATTTGAACATTTATATATCACATTAATTTAACAGGAATATTAAAGTATAGGGCAAGAAACCATCTCCCTTTTTAGGGGATTATATGCTTACTATATGTATTTTATCTATTTCCATTTCTACTTTTAAGAGATAAAGACATTAGAGAGTATCAGAGAAGAGCAAGAAAAAGAAAAAGCAGTTGGAAATATGGTCTGTTGAAAAAAATTAAAGGACCTATATCTCCCATTGTAGTGGAGAGGAGTATTTTATTTTTTTTTTTATTTATTTTTTTTTTTTACATTTGATGGTGTCTGTGGAAGGAGTATTTTATAAATAGTTTTAAAACCTGTGAAAGGTGGATATTGACCCATATTTCCATCCCTACAGAGGGAAAGGCTGAGAGTAAAGGGACTTAAATCGTTGCAGGAGAGTTTATTCGTCCTTGAAGAAAAGTTCACTGCTAATGGAACAGGCCCCCAAGATCAAGAGGGTGGCCTATGGCAGCAGGCTGGGTGGGCAGGAGGGTAGACAGAGGAGGAAGAGAGGAGAAGCCTCTTGAGGGCTCATACCACCTCCTCCTGCTGTGTCCAGGTGTCCGTGATCAATGGGACCAGCCCTTTTGCCTGTGACTATGACCTCACCCACATTGTTGCTGCCTACCAGGAAAGGAATGGTGAGTCAGGGGTTGGGGACTTTCAGCCACTACCTAAGGACTTTCCAGGTTCGTGGCAGCAACAGAGACAAAAAGAACTGGAGCCCTTGTCATGATCAAAATGTCAGAACCAGCAAATGCTCAGAGTGGACGGACTACCCAGGATCTGTCCTTTCTGTCCTGATCTCTAGACCTGCAACACCCCCTCCCCCACCCCTCCTGTGGGCCAGCAGGTTAGTGATGATTAATTGCCATATTTATCCCACCCCTCGCTTGGTGAGTTTCCTTTTGTAAAAATACAAGCCTACTTGAGTTCTTTTCCAGAGAGAAATAGAGAACGTGAATGAGTCACCCCACACTGGCAGTCCAGTAGGAGGACAGAAGTGCCCAAGCTTCCCACTGGAAGGCAGAGCAGAGCGTGTTCATTTATTACAGCGCGAGGCTCTCAGGCCGTTGCGTGTGCTTGATTCAGCACATTTGCCTGGTTGATGTTCAGAGGTTTCTCTAAAGGCATCTAGAGTGCTACTTGATAACCAAACTTTATGGATAGTACACACAGACATTTCAGGAGGGACAGGACTGCAATTCCAGTATTGCTTACTGATTTTATGTAATACAGTAACAGCATTATTGCAATAATAGAGGAACTTTTAAAACAAAATTTTAAAAATTCCCCTGCAAATCAACTTTTTTTTGTTACTCTTTTCACTCTATCCATATGCACTACATTTGATACAACTGTTATAGTGTAGAAACACGCTTACATTCAAATTATTTTTTTTTATTTAACAGTGTATTTCCCCACACAGCTACATAGTTCTGGTGTTATTTTTAGTGGCAGCATAGTATTCCTCCAGCAAATGTAGAAGAAGCTCTAACTTTTTTACAATCTTTAACATAAGTACTTTGACAAAGATGTTAGCATAACCATTTCTGGAGGTATTTTAACAAGTAATATGTGATCAGCTTTGTACATGTAATTTCTCTTTCCTTCTGAATGATTTCCTTCGGTTCAGAAGCGCAGGCTATCCCGCAGGAATTAAAGTGTCTTCATAGCCCTCCACTGGCAGGGTGAAGGGCTGTCCCAATTAATGGTTAACGATTGTGTTGCAGTCACCACCATCCTGGATGACCCCAACCCCATCTGGCTGGTGGGCAGGGCTGCTGAAGCCCCATTTGTGATTGATGCTGTCATCCGATACCCTGTGGAAGTCATTTCATATCCTTTACATGAAAGAGTCAGTGGTAGCTGGGTTTCTAAAAAGTAATTATTCCTCAGTTGTCCCATGTAGGAACAGATGTGGGAAGCCTTGGATTGGAAATTGCTACAGTGTTATAGCCCCACACAAGTGACTGTGTCTGTCTGTTGTTCGTACAGGAAAGAATATTCATTTCTTGTCCATATTTCTTTCTGAACAATTGTTCTAGCTTAGAATCATCCATATTTATGTCTTAATCATATATATCTCTTTTGTCCTAAGGATATTTGAAACTTTCTTGACTTTTCTTGAGTGACCTAAATTGTGGCTTAACTTTGACTTATGTCAAGTGGTAAGAAATAAGATCAACATTGCAGAGAAGGAAAGAAAAGAGATGTTTTAATTGAGGTCCTAGGAATTGCAATTCAGGAGATGCAAATTTAGCATGCAGCTAACCTGTGTGCTGTCCAGGTGAGGTTAGGCAGAGGCGTATGAGGGCTGCTGTGAGTTGACACCTGTGGAAGGTTTAGCACAGTGCATGACTGATGAGAGCTGATTAACAGCTTAGGATGCCTGTAGTTGATGATGAATATATTTCAGCGTAGCCTTCTCTCCAGGAGGTTGGTGATCAGGTCCAGAATATACTGTCCCTAACAAATGCAACTGGTTTTACAATTTGGCCAAGGTCAACAGGTCACATTCCATCTAGGATGTACATGACCAAAGTCAACTCCTCATGCCCACTCCATGGCTTTTCAGGTCCCTCAGACGTGGCCATCTCCATCTTGGATTTTCTTTTCACACTTCCAACATGTGGTGTGTGACTCCTTAACTGTCTGTTACTTATCAACCAGGATTCTGGGAGATGATAAAGTTTGCTTGGGTTCAGTATGTCAGTATCCTGCTCATCTTCCTCTGGGTGTTTGAAAGAATCAAGATATTCGTGTTTCAGAATCAGGTGGTGACCACAGTCCCTGCAAACGCAATGCCCCATGGAGAAGTGTATAAGGAGCACTTATCCTAAGAAGACCATTTCTGAAGATGCAGCAGGAACAAGGCTACCTCACTGTTGTTTTCTGAAAACTGCCATCCTACATTTCTACAGGAGCCCAGCGGACACTTGTGGACTTCAGCATTTTTTCCCTGAGACACAAAAGCAGTTCTTTCCAATTTTGTTCTGTACAAATTCCATGTGTTCTAAGCACCTACAAAGCCATGAGGAAATAATTTGTAGAAAGGTCTGAGGGGTCCTCGCAGCCATAATTTGCCTTTGGTGGGTTTGTTTTTTGTTTTTCTTCTTGTCTTAGCCTTGAATTTCAGGAGAAAATTATGGTCAGTTCAGATGTCTTGGAAAGAGTCCCATCTCTGGTTAAGCAAAGACTTTTCCTCTCTGAACTGAGAAGCAGTGTGCATTTCTTCTCCCTGTTGTGAACCACTTTTTACTCTTTTCAGGGCTCTTATGACAAATATGTAAATCACTAGCACTTTCCACTCTTGGGCATCTCTGTTTCCCACTCAGAGCTTTGATTTCCAGAACTGAGGCCTCTAACTGGAGATGTGGAGGGGCCAGGCGCAAACACGAGGGCCACTCAAGCTTGCGTGTGAGGGTGAGTGACTGAAGGACCCTGGGACCATCCATCTGCCTTCACTCTAGTCATCTGTCATCAGCTCGGCTGAGCAGCCCTCTATCCCTGCCCTACTGTGGCTGGCTTTGCCCTGCCTTTTACCCTCTTGTCTGTGCCTCTGGAATGGCAGGCTGAAGTCACAAGTGCTGTTTCACTAGGAACCCCCTTCAGCAACGGTGGGGGAAGTAGGACTGTAACAACAGGTTCTCTCTGGCCCTCACTCAGCAGCCTGGACACTTGCCACTGCTCCATCTTGACAGCATCCCCCTAACCGAAAAGGACAGGGTGACACAGGAGTTGTTGGTATTGGCTCCCACTGCCTGACAGCCACGAGTTTATCTGTAGGGCTAGTGAGAAGCCGAGAGACTTTTATTTCCCTTGTCTAAGGATCACAATACCCATCAGAGTGGACAGCTGTCCATTAGAGTGGACAGCTTTGGGAAGGATAGAAGAAGCAGTGAAGGAGTAAAGAGGACACTACCCTGGGCAGTCCAGTCCTATCTGGCCTTTAGCAGAATGACAAGCAGTCCAGCCAGATTACCCTCGTGGCCAAGCAAGTGTCTGCAGGAGCTGGCACTCACAGACTGTGTGTTCAGCCCCATTCTCCTCCTGAGGACATGTGCAGTCTCCCCCAAGGACACAGGGACCTGCTTTGTGATCCCCAGCATGTCTTTGGCACTGGAAGGACATAGCTCCTGTGATCCATGCTTCATGCCCATTCACAAACACATTCCTCAGTGTGTGCCTCAGTTTACCTTGGAGATCAGTTCTTTTTCAAAGCATCTTTTCTTTCAGGCTGACCGAGATAAGAATTTTGGAAACAAAGCTATTTTGAAGTATTCAAGCAAAAAAAATTCCCTGACACTGACACCACATACACACATGCCTTTCCCCCTAGAACTGTTTATGTGCTTAAATTTTCTTGAGATTTAAATGGAAAAATGGTTTGAAGTTTAAATCCCCAAAAGATAATGAGATGTGGAAAAATGGCTAAAGATATGTATAAACATGGCTTTGCATTTTATTAAGTTATCTAATGCAAAATGTATATAAAGAGCCCATGATGTTTTGTAAATTTTTAATTAAAATGTTCAAAATGGAAGTTTGCATGTTGGTATTTAGAGGGGAAGGGTTTGGAGGGGGAAGACTGGGGAGGGCAGGGCTACACACACTTCTCCCAGTTACTCACCAGCAGCCTTGCTTTGCCAAGGCTCTGCCCAAAGACCTTGGAGCTTTTGTTAGCTCTTTGGGGAAAGTGCCCTAGTCCAGCCCTAAGTAAATGAGTGTTTGGAGGAATCCACATGCCATGTGGAAGACAGGGGCTGGAACATTACAAGTGTGTCTGGTGAATATCAAATTACTTACAGATCAGATGTTGGTAGCTTCTGACCTAATCAAACAGTGTAGTTACAACATGAAAAATGATGAGGATTTTATCAACTGAGCCAAGTCAGGGTTTGAGATAATTACTGTGGGGGAAGAGATCCCTAATTATGCCAAATGATCATTCTAATTTCTGCTTAAGTAATGTGAGACTCCCTTGATTCTGAGATGTCCCACTCAGGTCCCATCATTTTAAGGTCTATAAAGCAATTGTTTTCTGTTATACAGATGGTGTCTCACTATGTCATCCAGTCCAGAGTGCAGTGAGGAGATCATAGCTGACTGCAGCCTGAAACTCCTGGGCTCAAGCCATACACTTGCCTCTAGAGTAGCTGAGACTACAGGCTGGAGCTGCCACGCCCTACTAATATATTTTTGTTGAGTTAGACTCTCACTCTGTTGCAGGGATAGACTACAGTGGCATCACCACAGCTCAGGCAATCTCAAACTTCTGGGCTGATGGGATCCTCTTGTCTCAGCCTCCCCAGTAGCTGAGACTACAGGTACGTACCATGGCAGCTGGCTAATTTTTCTTTTTTCTTTGCAGAGATGATGTCTTGCTCTTGCTCAGGCTGGCCTTGAACTCATGACCTCAAGCAATCCTCCTGCCTCCTCTTCCTTAGCACTAAGATAGTGCCAAGATTCCAGGCATGAGCCACTACACCCAGCCTGTCACTTTTTTTTTTTAGAGACAGGGTCTCCCTATCTTGCACAGGTTGGTCTCCTGGGCTCAAGGGAACCTCCTGCCTCCCCAGTAGCTTGGATTAGTCTTGAGCCATGGACTTTTTTTCTTTCCTTTTTCTTTCACTCCTCTCTCCCCTTCCGCCCCACCATCTCTTCATCTTCATGTGCATGCTTTATAAAAGAGCTTTTGAATCTGAACCAAGTAAATTCTAAACGTCTATTGAGAAAAATGTGTAAATTACATAAACCTAAAAAAAAAATAACTACTGTCTGCAAATCCACCACCCATGGTTGGCCTTCTGGCACACATCTTTCTAATCTTTTGTGTTCTTCTAAATTTTTTTAGTGTCCTGAATGACATTTCTATGACCCTTGTGTATAAATCCTTATTTCTGGTTTATTTCCTTAAGATAGATCCTAGAAATGAGTCACCCATTCAAAAAGCTTATGACCATAGTTGAGGATCTTAATTCATCTTGCCAAACCACATACAGGAAATATGGTGCTAATTTCTACACTGGCAGCAGCAATTTCTTGTTTCACATCCCCATGGATTACAAGAGATCAGAATGTTCTATCCTTTTTAGACGCCTGGGTTCTGTCCTATTAACTATAAGGGGGGAAAACTGTTCTATTTCTTGAAACGTATCCTATATTTATCCTAACCTGCTATCAAGCCAGTGCAGGCCTCTGGGTTTGGGCTAGGACGGGGAGGGGACAGGAGGAGGGGTCAGCTGTAGGTCCAGCTCCTCAAGGTCACCTGATCTCTCTGCCCCTCCTAGCTTGGCTACTTCACTGGGTCCCCCTGGCATCAAGGTGCCTCAGTTTGGTTAGGGCTGAGGATGGGGCTTGGGATGAAGTGTGGATTACATATCACCTGAGCCCTCATGGACCCGCCCTCTACCAGCAACCAGTGCCCCTCACTTGAGGCGTGGCCCCTGGGTCAGGGATGGGGAGGGGAGTGGGAACCGGGGGCCAACAGGCTCTTTCTCTCCTTGTCCTCACCCTGGCTCCTGCCCCCAGTACTGGGACCACAGCAGAAAAGTGCATCATTGTCTGTGCTGGGGCGGCCAGCACCGAGGGCTACAGGCGGTTGCACAGGTAGTGCAGGATGTAGGGTGCCAAGGGGGGGACCAAGGGGGGTCCCTGCACCAAGATCCTACCTTATAGCCCTAAGATACCCGCACCCCCAACATCCTTTTCTGAGACTCCTGCCCTTTTTGCAGACTCATTCAGCCTTGAGTCTCCAGGTGCTTCCAGTAGCTTGATACCCCCTGACTCCTGTCTATGCCTCTTAGAGCCCCCTCCCCTATGTCACCAGGTGCCCTCAATAGTCTTGGGACTCTAAGGAGAAAATCTGCCTTTGCGGATTCTCCCAGTGCAGAGAGCAAGCTGGTTCTGCTGTGGAACTTGGAACAGACGACGTCTGGGAGGCTTTGCTGAGCCCCGGGAGAGAGGTGTCTCCCTCTCTGTCTCGCTTGGTCAGGCGGAAATGCCAAGCTTTGGGGTATGTTGATTCTCTGCTCTCAATGTGGGATGTCCCCACTCTCAGGAGGGCCGGGGACTTGGCCAGTGGCGCAACTGGGGAGGCTCCTTGATCCTGCAGCTGGGGTCAGTGTTGGCGGGAAGAGCTGAGGGTGGATTTTCCATCAGCAATGTGGAAAAGGCATCGCTGCTGCAAGCACAGGTTTGGAAGTGTGTGGCTGGGGCTTCAGCTGCACACACAGTCACTGTTGGGGGTCCCTTATCTCTTGAATCTTGAGTTTCAAAGTGCATGGCTTTAAAAAGCTCCCCAAGGGCTTTTTCCCTAGAACTCTTGAGAAAAGGTAGCTTGGAGAGTAAATTTGGAACCACGCCCACATGAAATGGAGCTGTGCACCACCACTTACAACAGGACAGGCCCCTCTTGGACTCCGGATAGGTGCCTAGTTAGTGGTCACTTTTCTTTCTCTTCCCTCCTAAACAGGAGTCAAGATTCCCATTTTTGAAGAAGGGAAAACTGCCCTGGCTGTGCTCATCTCTAGCCTGCGTGCTGGGTGCCGTTCTGGCTCCTTCTACAAAGGTGTCGACTGAGGCACAGAAAGCCTGAAAGTGACTTGCTCAAAGTCACACAGCTCACTTGTAGTAGAGACAGGATTTGATCCCAGCCTGGCTTCAGGAGCTGTGATCCTCCACTGTCTTGTGTTGCGTAAATGCTTGTGTGGCCCTGCCTGTGCTTGTCACTCTCTGCTGCTGGGAATGAGGGCCACTTGAGCCTGGTGGGGGTGTTGTCCCTGGGTTTTCCTTATGCAAAGACTTTCCCTTGGATTCGTGGAATATAATCGTGACGCAGGATTTGGAAGATTCCTGAACAAACACTTGTCTTATAAGTGTACTATGTGCCAGACATTGTTCTGCTTTACAGGTATTAATTTATTCAGTCTTTATTTTTTTATTTATTTTTTTATTTTTTGAGACAGAGTCTCGTTTTGTTGCCCAAGCTAGAGTGAGTGCCGTGGCATCAGCCTAGCTCACAGCAACCTCAAACTCCTGGGCTCAAGCAAACCTC